GAATCATTTTGTGACTTACTGCTACAATTAATAATTGTCCCAGTAAATGCACAAAACCCCTACATTTATTGGTGCCTCGTGAGAGGATGCCTACAAATGATAACGACCCAAAGCACACATCCAAGTCAACCAAGGAATGGATTCAGAAAAGGAAGATCAAACTCTTGGAATGGCCCAGTCAGAGCCCAGACCTCAATCCCATAGGATTGAGGCTGTGCACAGGAGATCCCCTGGCAATTTGAAGGAGCTTGAACTATTTTGCAAGACTGGGATAATATTGCGAGGTCCAGGTGTGCAAAGTTGGTAGAGACTTATTCACAAAGACTTACTGCTGTAATAAATGCAAAAGGGGTTTATTATTATTTATTTGGGGGGGGGGGTGCACACTTATGCAACCAGGGTGTTGTAGGTTTTTTAATTTCAATTATTTTTCCTAATAATTATCTATTTGTTTTTCTCTTGAATTTTGTTAGTTGCAAGGTCACATTAAAGATGGAAAAATGACTGACATGATTTATCTTGATTTCTGGATTTACATCACAAAAACCTACAATTTCAATAAGGGTGTGTAGCCTTTTTATATCCACTGTAATAAGATAAATTAATTTATTAATAATAAATAATTATTTCAAACTTCTTGTATTTTGTTCTGGGTCATTTGTTTTTTCATTTTTTTATAACCTTTGTTTTCTTATTAAAACGCCAATTTATGAGACATGATGTTTCAGATGTCAATAACTTTGCAAACAAATGACACAGAGCCTTCAAACCATTATGAAAGGCATTTAAAAGGTTGTGATTTGTGAAAAAGATTTATTTAAACAACATCTAGTATCTGGTTCCATTTTGAGAAACCTTAGCTTGAATAAAGCAGATCCCAGGTGTCAGCAAGTTCATAAAGCTAGGATTACTATTCAAAAGCTACTGTATATATGTAGAACACCTAACCATATAAAGCAGAATAACACAAACTCAATGGGTTCAACCTCTTTTTAATTTGTGGATCTCTTGCTGTATTTTCAGTTTTTACTCAGATAAGAATAAACTACATATGCAATTCTTTTGGCAGGAGGAAAGATTTTTGTTGAGTTCCATCCTCAATAGCTTTTTCGCCACGGCACGCATTATGTTATATCTTTTATGCATCAGTCAAAGCATTCTGAAGTCTATCAAAAATGTAACATAATACTGTGTGTTACACCCTATCTGTCCTGGATAAAGCAGTTAGAAAATAGATAGACTGGTGGATTTATGCTTCTAAAAACATACCAAAAACATGCAATATGGAAGATATTATTAAT